CAGCTGGTCCTCTGGAGTCTAGATGAAGCCATTTGATGATTTTGTCATGAGATTCAAACAAGTATTTCCTCTCAACACTCGGCCTTCTCTCTCCCTCTCACGCTGATGCTAAAGTCAAATGTTGGATTTACTCTGACATTGGTGCAAAAACCTCTCACACTGACATGGATAACAAACTCACCGGAAGACACTGCACGGTTCCTTGGCAGTTGTGTCAAGTTAGATAGATAAAAGGAAGCTAGTACAGGAAGTAAGAGAATGTTTGTCTTCAGAATAAAGCAAACCACAGGGAGGACACTTACAGAGCATTTTTGTGACTCATGATACCTACTTGTATATTTCTTTTCTAGTCTTCTGACTACTCAAAGCGCTTTTAGACCACAGATCATATCTAGACATTCACACACTGATGGTAGAGGCTGCTGTTTAAAGTGACCATCAGAAGTAACTAATCCATTCATACACATTCATACACCACCAATGAAGCAGAGGGAGCAACTTGGGGTTAAGTGTTAAGACAAGTTAGATGGTTACCTGTGCAAACACAATAATAATTTGGGAAAACTTGTAATAGATAAAAATCTTGTGAGAACGAGTTTAACACATGCACACATTAGATGATAACTTGTGGGAACAACAAAACCATCTTTTGGTGAATTCGGGGGCTGTCCTAATCAGATATATCTAATTCTGTATGAAAAACTTTACGTTTTCAACTTCTGTTGTATCCAGATATGAGCCGACGCAATTAATCGGCTGGATGTGGCGGATGTGGTTCAGTGGTAGAGTCCGGTATGTCTCAACAGGAAGGTCAGGGGTTCGATTCCCAGCTACTCCATGGCCGACGTGTCCTTGGGCATGACATTCACACCGTGCGAATGTGTATGAACTTGATTACTTAACACAGATAGAAACTTTACACCTGATTTGGTAGGTGTGACCTGCGGTGTAAAAGCTAGAAAAGCGCGATACAATCTCAAGTCCATTTACATGTCAAAGGGGCGGCTGTGGCTCAGTTTGTAGAGTAATCGCCTTTCAACCGAAGGTCGAGGGTCCGATCCCCAGCTGGGCAACATGTCTGACGTTTCCTTGGGCAAGACACTTAACCCTGCATTGCTCCCGCTGCTTCGGTGGCGGTGTATGAATGGATTAGTGTTGTACTTACTCTCTGATGTGCTTCGCTTTGGTATAAAAGCGTCTGCTAAGTGAATTGAACATTATACATCAGGGGTGGGCAACTGGCGGCCCGGGGGCCACGTGCGGCCCTCGTCAACCCTCAATGTGGCCCTCAGGTCAATTTTTATATTTCAAAACATGAAGAAAACATGACAAAATCTGCCATGAAATCATGAAAACCCGAAATATTTCCATAATAATATTTGATCACTGGTATATGCTGAGTTAAATTTGAGACATAATTGACTGTTATCGTTTTTGTATCCTACAGTTTGGCCCCCTGGCAGTCAGAATGAAATGAATGTGGCCCTTGCTGTGACCAAAGTTGCCCCATCCCTGTTATACATGTACATACTAAACTTTTAAACTTTAGCCTGAGTTGCATATATCATATATCAAACAGTATTGTGGGCTCATGTTTTTTCTCACCGGTTTTTTTGTAAGGGTGGGATATGTATGTATATATGTGTTGTGTTGTGTGTTTGTATGTATGCTGGTGTTGCACCCCTGAAAAGACCTGGACTGTCTGTCTTCCGTTTTGCAACTTTATTCTTCCCGGTGCTGTATTTTTTTTTTATGATTATCTCTCTTAAGAAGCATCAGGTCCTCACAACAAAAACGGCATACATGCGCATTCTCTCTTGACCACGACCCCGACTATTTACGTCACCTTTGCACGCAGGCCGACGACGTCATATATCAAAACCTAAAATTAAAAGTTAATAACAACTTTTTAATTTCTCTGTAAACTAACATGAAATTACAGTACCTGTATGTTTTTAATTAACAAGTTAAACAAATGTGAAATAATATTATATAAAGTACTTTCTAACTTATAGTTAGATTTATCTGTATAGTATTTTTACTCATAGTTTTTCTTTTTATATCTATTTATATCCGCACCTTATTTTTATTTTTTATATGTAAATACATGCTGCTGTTTTTATCCTGCACTACAACGGGCCAAATGCAACGAAATTTCGTTCTTATCTGCACTGTAAAGTACAAGTTTGAATGACAATAAAGAAAGTCTAAGTCTTTCTTCTGTCAAATTGAATTGCATACAAATATTTCTAGGTCGCAACCTGGTCGCAACACATCTAAATTTCCCTGCTGGGATCAATAAAGTATATCTTATCTTTTATCCTTATAACATAACATTAAATTAATCGACTCTTGCTGCTGAGCCGAGCCTACTGAATGAAAAAAAAAAAAAAAAGAAATTCCCACATCGATATTGCTGATTAAATGGATACTGACTTTTATTTTGAAAGGAATGACCGGAAACGCGACAGTGTAACGGTCTAGCCTGACTCTGCGCGAGGTGGGCTGGAGGGAAACAAAAAAAAAAAGGAAGAAAAAAAAAAAAAAAAAGGCTGCTCTTCGGGGTTTGAGGGGCGGATTCGACAAAGTTTCCCAACTGTCCCGACCCGAGGAAGCTCCAGTGGGGGGGGGGTCCGACGGGGAATCGATTTGACCGGTAATTAAGCAGTTGGTTTGTTAACGATGTGATATTTTCAGTGTGTCTGAGAGCCGTGTCGTCCCAGCCGCCGGAAGTCTGCATGAAGCTGCGTCTCCTGCAGCGCCGTCGACCGGGCTTTTTTTTTTCCCCAATCTTCGTTTTTTTTTTTTTTTTTTTTTATATCCGAGACTTTTTTTTTTTTTTCTGGAGGTTTTTTTTTTTATTTTCTCACAGCGAGATGAGCGAGGGGGGTGAGGGATGGGAGGCGTAGGCAAGCGAGGATGTTTTTTTGTGTGTTTACCGAGCTCACCAGCTAGTTTAGCCGTGTGAATATCTCGGGCCCTCCTTGTAGCTAAAGCAAAGCCAAGCGAACAAAAGGAGAACAATTTAATGGAGGCGAGTGAAGCTAGCTCACCCCCCCCCCACACCCCCCTTGTCTTGTTTGCGTTAGCCATGTTTGTTTACAGCCCACGACGCTGTTGACAGCTGGTTCAGGTGCGGTGTGACACACGCGGGGTAATGAAGGGACACCTTACTTTAACAGATATCTACCAATCTAGCATTTTAAACATTCCCCTGCTATCGTCAGCTAGCTGCTAGCAATGCCACAGCTTGTGCCCCTCGTCTAAAAAATGGCTCTCAGGGCACTGAAACGTTGACTTTTTGATGCACTTTTAAGTTTCCAGACAGCAGCAGCAGCAGCCTGTGGGATCTGAAGTAATTTGCTCTTAAAACTTGTTTTATGTATTTATAGGTTGTGTGTCTGCAGGAGGGAGAGAGGGCTTCATGAAAAACAACCCAAAACACGTTACCAGTGTTTTTGCATGAAATATGTCTTTGAGCTTGTTTACTTCCAGCCTTTACATCCCTCAAAAGCATGTTAATTACACTCCTGTTTAACTAGCATGCAAATAGGTGCATGCTTTTATTAGTATTTGTGCAAAAATGTTTATTTAATCACAGTCTCCACATGCACACAGGAGGCAGTGACAATATGAGACTGCTATGAGCCTCAACAACTCACTGTTTATTCATTTGAATTATTTTAAATGTTAGGATTTAGATGAGCTTAACACAGATCAGATAATCCACAAAGGGCAGAAAATGTTCCATCAAAATGTATTCAGAGGTTGTCTGAAGTTAGAGAGAGCCAGTGTGAAGTAAAGCAGTGTTTCTCAACTGGTGGGTCGTGTCCCAAAAGTGGGTCGCAGAGCTGTTTTCAGTGGGTTGCTATTGTTTGCCTGGGGAAAAAATATATTCTGTCAAACAGTCCATGAAACGCTTTTCCAGCATGTTTTGTTTCTTTGTTCTGTCACGTTTTGAGGTCCAAACTGCGCTTATTTCACGTTGGACAAATCTGATAGGTTGGAAAAATATCTGAAATTCAGGTCGCGACTTTTCATGAAGGAGCAGGTGGTGGATCCCTGAGGCTAGACCACTTGAGAACCACTGAACTAACGGGAACAGGATATATTAAAAACCAAAAATAAGGACGAAAACAAAGCAGAGCCGTGCAGTAAACCTGTGGATAGCTTTAAATTGTGTTGTTTACATTTTAGTACATTTTACAAGTGTTTACAATAGTGATAAAACATGTTTCATATTTTTGAAATGATTTGTGTTTCGTTTCGATTCTTACTTGTTGAGGATTAAACGCTGGAGCTTCGTTTTTGGTTTTCTTACTTTTGCTGTGAACCATGAGGAACATCGTTTTGTTTCGTAGTGTAGTTGAAGAGTTACCAAACAGAGTATGTTCTGTAAAAAGCCAGAGCTTCAGCCTCTTCAGTTAAGTTGATCCCTAAATACATTTGTGTATTTATCCAATAAGTACTTTGTGTTTATGGGTAGGGAGGAGGTTTTAATTCTGACTGAAATAAACTACCACTACTAGAAAACTGCCAAACAAACTTGAACTATTGCTCTAACACAGAAGTAATGTATGTTGGAAGTAAAGTGCAGATGCATGCACAAACAGAAAAATGGAACTATGACACTTCCTGCTTTGTGCAAAAGAAAACATGTGGCGTTTGCACACAGTGGGAGCTGATCAGGAAACAGAAGCTGTGAGGTGGGTTACTTTTCTCTGCAGTAAATAGCTTCTTAGTTTTGATACAGCATCAAGTTGCTTTCCAAAACTAGGCCGAGTGACTTTGAGACCGTGTCATTTTTAGAGTAAAAGCACCGTCTAAGGCATTGGTTCTCAACTGGTGGGTCGTGGAGCAGTTTTCTGTGGGTCTCGATCACGTGCCTTGAAAAAATAATTGTGTCCGTAAGTCTGCGAGACGCTTCTCAAACAAGTTTGATTTGTTCCGCCTCTTCAGCTTCTGTTCAGACTGCCGTTTGCCGGTGTAAGGGACTAGTGAGGACGTTCATCATCTGTGTAAAGGAACTAGATGAGTGTTTTCTCAGCTCTCACCTCTTCTGTCCTCCTCTAGGTTTTTTAAATATCCATCTCTCCAAAGATTGAACGTCTTTCCATGATACCTTTAACATCCTCTTCTCCGTAAATCTGATTCTATTCATTAAAGGAACTTAAAACTGTAGAATTCAAAGCTCTCCCTTTAATCCAGCACTTTTGGAATGGGACCCCTCAAAATACTAAGGGACCACTACTCCACAAAAAATGCTCCACAGTGTTAGCACTCAGCTGTGATCAGCTGATGGAGGAGAGGTCGCATGGAAAGGAAGCAGTCTAAGATGTTTGAAACGCAGCCTTCCTTGCATGGTCTCGTTTCACATGAAAGTCTTAAGAACAGTGCGGAGCACAGTGAGGAGGAGGAGGAGGAGGAGGAGCACGGGTGGTTTCTAAGTGTGTTGCTTTTTAATTACAGAAATTATGGACGATTCCCATTTCAACTCATCGTACTTTTGGTCTCCCGTCCCCACTGTACAAGGACAGGTAGAGACAACCTTATTGTTGGAATTGTCTTGTGTACTGCTATGTGTAAAGAATAACCAGCAGTGGAGATTGTTTTGACTCTTTGTGGACATGTTAGATTACACAGTTTCACCCTGAACATGTTCATAAGAACACTTAAAAAATGTTAAATTAGTCGGTGAAGTTGACTTGAAGTTCACATTGACGATGTTTGAATATCAATTCTTGACATAAAAAGGGTTCTCTGGATTACATGATCACTCCTGTCCCTCTCCTCTCTCATCTCCTTGACCCCACTCTTTTTCATTTACTTCTTGCATCTCATCATGTCTTCGTTCTCTGATCTCTCCCATTGCCTTCTTTTTCTCCCTACATGGATCTTACCCATTGTCATCTCTCATCCTTCTCTTTCCTCATCTAACAACTCATATCACTCCTTTGCCACCTTTCTCTTCCTTCATCATCCTCCTTTTTTGTCTCCCAATTGACCTCCCCATCACCTTTCCTCACACTCCACTTGTCTTCCTCATGTCTTCTATCCTCACCCTCCTGTCCTCATAACATCTTCCTCCCCCATCCTGCGTCATCTGCGTCCTTTACCTCTTCACCCTTCCTTTTTTTCCCTTCCTCCTGCCACCAACCCTTCCCTCCACTCGTCCCGGTCTAGATCGAGAACGCCATGTTCCTGAACAAGGCGAAGGAGCAGCTGGGTCAAGAGAAGGCCAATGCAGCCTCCTTCCCCCACGCCTCTGCGTCTTCCACCTCCTCCCCCCACTACCCCATGGCCGTGCTCGCCATCCCCGGCTCAGTGGACGCAGGGGCGGGAGCGCGAGTGGTCCCCAAACAGGAAGGAGCTGGAGGAGGAGGAGGGGGTGGCAACAGTTTAGTCGGAGGACACCTGCACCAGTCGCACACCTCGCAGAACATCACTGTTGTGCCTGTTTCCTCCACGGGTATCATGACCGCAGGTGAGTGGACCGCCTTTCATGACGCTCTTCTCTCTGTTAGTCTTATTTTCTTTTTTTTGTCACTTTAAGATGTGTGCATGGGAGTCAGAAAAACTTGTTAGCAGGTGTTTGTCCGACGGTTTTACGTGCACATGTTTTAACCACTCTCATTATGAATACTTAAAGTCCTATGGTATAACGATTTTTTAAAAGTTTGTTTTGATTAAATGGACCCGGAGATGAAAGCTTCTCTTTGTCTCTTAGCGGGGTTAGTGATCACCACCCCTCAAGGCACGCTGCTGCCCACGTCCTCCACACAGTCATTTGTAACCGGACACCCCACTGCCACCACCATGATAGTGTCTGCGCTGCACCAGTCGAATACAGGTAAGACACTGAAACCAGTCACTGTTACGTCAGCCTTTCAACACTTTGAATCCTGAATAGTAATGAAGAAAAATTCCACAAAGTGAATATATTGTGTAGTGATGACTTTCTAAAAAGAGAGTGAAGTCAAACTCCCTCTGGGTTTGTTGTTCTCAGCTCTGTGTTCACACGGACAGGACGGCGCTTCCTACATCTCGTTTATGTTTCACTCAGCCGTGTTTCTTTTTTTCTGCGTGAACCCCTCACTGTCTAACCGTTAGCCCTGCCAACACATGTGGGATAAGAGACGGCCCCGCCCACTCAGGGTGTGTCGTTCAATCAGCAGGAGTCTAAAAAAGACAAACAGATAACCCCCGAATCAACTTTAAAATGCATATCGTCACTTGAAATTGATGGCAGAATCTTGTTTTCAGATGTTTATTGACACTTGCTGGTGAAACAGGTGGAGGCAGGAGGGGAGGAGGTAGCTGATGGATGAAGGAGGTGTGTCCAAAGAGAGCATTTCTTTTGGTCTGAAAATCTGCTCTGAAAGTCGCATAGTAAGCCTTTAATGTAAACTTTATACCATCCGATGAAAGTGTTCGAGTGTTGTCAGACTATATAATCTTCTTTTCTAACTTGTACTGGTCAGGAGGATTTAGAAAGCCTGTTTACCGACCAGCTGTGATGATCGTAGAGCAGAAGACTGACTGGGCCCTTAAGCTCAGCAGCACCACGACAAAAATCAACAATTTATTATTAGCTTGATGTTTAAAACAGAAGATTCTAGTTATGTTGAGATAGAAGTAAATCAAGACTAAAACAGCCACTAATTACAATGTCTTGGAAATTTCTCTACCCACCATTTATTCTCCTGCGATTTTTTTGTGCGTCCACTCACAGGAACACACACGTTTTGTAAGAGTTGTTGTTGCTTGTGACGAGGCGGCACACTCCTGCATCATGTAGGTGATGTGTGAGACTGATGACCTCACCTGTTTCCAGCTGTCCTCACACAAGACGACATGACTCTCCCTCATTTCTTAAGTTTCTTTCTTTTTTTTTTTTTTTTTACTTTTCTCTTGTTTCCAGACAAGAAGGAAAACATTGGAAACCCTTCTGCTGTTGTCATGCCGACGCCATCAAAGCGAGGCAGGAAGAGCAAACAGCTGATGGGAAGGTTGGCGGGCGTGGGAGGGGTCCTCCCTCCGGGAAGCGATGCGTTGATATTGGCTCACCTCGCTGCTGGAGGACAGGTGAGTTGAATGTTTTCTCATTTTTCTGATACTGTTTTTGTGTCAGTGTGTAATATTTTCTTTATACCTGATTTATTGTTATTGTGTTCCAGCATCACTCTGTGGATCCATACGATATATCCAATGATGAAGATGATCATCCCAGCAAAGACGGACCCAAATCCTACAGGTGGTGAACCATATTTAAATGAGAAATAATAATGCTAAACGTCCGTGGCCTTCCAGATGTGATTGAACAGCTGCAGCATTTAACTTTACTTGCCCGCTCTCTGTGCCATAAAGGTTCTCTTCTCTCTCTCACTCCTCACTTGACAAGGTGTCGGATGTGTGCATTGACATTCTTCAGCAAGTCCGACATGCAGATCCACGCCAAGTCGCACACTGAGGCCAAGCCCCACAAGTGCCCCCACTGCTCCAAGTCGTTTGCCAACTCCAGCTACCTGTCCCAGCACATCCGCATCCACAGCGGGGCCAAGCCCTACTCCTGCACCTACTGCCAGAAAACCTTCAGGCAGCTCAGTCACCTCCAGCAGCACACACGGTACTGCAATGAGTGCTTTGTGGAGTCCTGTGTGTGTGGGGGGTCTCTGTTGGGAAAGTGTGTGTGGGCTTGTGTTGGGGATGTTCAGGGGTCTTTTGGGACAGTGTTGACAGTGTAAAGCTCTTTTTGCCGCGTCTTAGCGTTACCTTACAAGGTGCAACACTTGAATCAAATGTAAATTAAATCCTGGGTTTAATCTTGGTGTCTCGAAAGTTTATCGATTAATATTAGCTGTCGACTGATTTAATAATTAGGGAAGAAAGACAGCCTCCTCATTACATTTTAACAGTTGCTTTAATTAATTAGCAGCTTGATTCGTCACGTCATATATGTAAAGCCTGGGTTAGAGGAGAGCATGCTATAGAGTTTGGTATCTTCATTTAGCAGCAGGGATGCAGCGATTACCAGTTTGACTATTGACCACGCTTCAAAATGTAATTTACTACTCAATCGTAAAGGCAGCGCTACATCTGTAGTCAAGCTGCACAATGCAAAAGCAAAGTGACACCTACACTTAGTTAGCTTTACAATGTTGAGGGACCAACCAGCGTAAGTTTTTTTTAACCACCAAAGAAAGGAGTGAAGTCAGCAGTGTGAGAGCAAACTATCCATGGTATGTCTTATTTACAATCAGGATTTACAGTAATGCATAATAATTGTGATCTGTGACACCATGATTATTCCTCAGACTATAATCAAACCATCAAAACTTCAATGGTTGTATACCGAGAGTTAGGGTTAAGATTAGGGTTAACCCTGCTGTTGGTACTATTAGAAGCCTGGCATGGTCCTGCATGATTCTGAGTTACTCTGTTTTATTTCATCTGCTTTCACACTAATCCTTCATACATTCTTCTTTTTGGTTGCATGCACCTTCTGTTTCTTTCACTGTCATAGTAGCAACTTGCAGTGTTTAAATATCCACTTCAATTAAAAAGACTAATAAAAGGTAAAAGGTAAAAACTGAATTTGTAAAGGTTTAGGCACTGATTATGTTTACAAAAGACAAGACTGATGATCAGACATTCAAACTGCAGATGGCAGTAAAGACAACCTGTTATTTTAATCACTCAAATTTTTCACACTGAGTCAGGTTTTTTTGAATGGGTTTTTGAGGTCTGTAATCCGAGGTTTGAGGTAGGGACACACACTACACACACACAGGGATGGATGCGAAAAAATGCAGAAAGTCAGTGTGCAGTGGCCTTAACCCTTATAACTATTCAGCCCTTTAATAAAATCAACACTCGTCTTTTCTTTTTGCCTGTTCCTGCATGTTTTACACATACTCTCTGATAATAGTTTGACATGTATTACTTGGTGATCAAAGTCTCCCAGTCATGCTGTCATCAGTTTTCTGTTTGACCTTGTCATTCACCTTCATGTTTTCATTTCCCTCATTGCCACCCGCTTGGTTTTCTTTCTGGGCTGCAGGACATCTATTTTAAACAGCAGGAGGTTTTCCACTCGTATTAAATGTACTTTACAATCTGACTGCAGCAGAGCTAGACAGTCATAAACACACTCAGAGTGCACTCAATGCAGGGCATACCAATGGAGAGACTGTGAGAGAGAGAGAAAAGCGTGACTGTGCTTGCTGTATGTATTTGTTCTGTGTTTTCACGACTCAGACACAGCACAAAGAGCACACTGTCAAACCTAATGATCTACGATCTACACAACTCATCGTAGATCTATTTCACTTAAACGCATGATTTGGTCTTCAGTTTATCGTGAAGTTTGGTCATGCTGTAGCTGAAAAATCTCTCGCTGTCTCTCTCTCTGTTTCTCTCTCTCCACCTCCTCACCCCTCCAATCCCGTGTCCCGTGTTAGAAACCACACTGAGGCCAAGCCCCACAAGTGTCCCCACTGCTCCAAGTCGTTTTCCAACTCCAGCTACCTGTCCCAGCACATCCGCATCCACACCGGGGCCAAGCCCTACTCCTGCTCCTACTGCCAGAAAACAATTATCTTTGGATAACAACGCTCGTTATATCAGGAAAGCCAGCGTTGTTATCCCTCGAAGAAGAGATAAATTAGTCGAGATGTTGAGAAAAAACAACCAGTAATTACTCAATATCATGGGAAAACGTAAACTTATAATGTATGTCTGCCCCAGGCTTCCGTAGTGTGATGAGTTAAGGCATAATGTTTGTTTTAGCCTTTTTTAACTTAAATATTCTGGAGGCATGCCGTGTCGTCAGGGATAAACTGTTTATAAGTAAAGAATGTGTGCATTCTCTTTAATGGCCAGCAGGAGGCAGCTGCACTGTTATAGTCTGTTAGTAGACCAGAAACTGACAGAAACGTCTCTCTTGATTTATTACCTCAGGAATAATTTTCTTATGAATCTATGGTCTATGTTTCTTTCATATCTGCTTCTAAACATTATGATGTAAATTATGTAAGTTATCGTCCTTTCTACAGTAAAACAGACAATAAAGCAGGGTGAGCTATAGGACTAGGAACAGAGGAGGTGGGCGGTTTTAAGACACCCCCCACACGGCCGTTTTGGACGCCCCTCGGTTTGCCAGATATGAGAGCAGTTATCAGGTCAACCCAACAGGTGTTGCATGATGGAAGCGGGCAAGAGAAGTGGTTCAGATAGAAGTGATTGTACCGACCTAAAAAGCCTCTGCATGTTTCTAATAAGCTCCACGAGCAGAAACGTGCTCAAACTAGGATCAATATTGGAGATGTTTTGAAAAATGGAGAGAGGTTAGAACGCAGAAAGGTTTACAGAGCGATGCAGAGCTGGATAAACAATGAAGCTTCAGTGTCCACAACATGGCAACCTGCGTGAGCATCCACTCTAGAGAGGAGGGGGCGGGGGAAGACAGCTCTCTCTAATGTTAAGAATCTGGACTGCAGTACCCATTTTAAACACTAGATGGCAGATTTACATACTGCTCCTTTAAGTATAAGAAAGCAAGGAACTTGCAATGAGGCATTCGTCTCTCAATCGAACTCTTTTTTGCAGTGCAGTCTTAAAGTGTAAGAGATGGACTCTAACAAACTGATGTTGTTTTTCAGGATTCACACCGGTGACCGACCGTACAAGTGTAGCCATCCCGGCTGTGAAAAAGCTTTCACTCAGCTGTCCAACCTGCAGGTAAATTAATTCACAGGTTTCATCCTTGACAGCACTGAACTGTTGACTTTCTGCAGTATGCCTACCTGTTTGTGTTTCTTCTTTGTTGGCTAAAACATGAACATAAAGTTATTGTTCCTGATGTCACATGAAACACAATAAAGGGACTTTAATTCCTGTGTCATTGAAATGAAAAGTTTTCACTGTTCTTTACAGGTCAAGGAGAATAAAACGTCTTAAAGAATAAAAAGTCTAATTTCTCTGTAGAGTAAATGTTGTTCTCTTAGTAACAGTATTTGGAAAACGTCATTGATTAGTCTACGATTTGTTTACCTCCTTCTTCTTCTGCACAGTCTCACCGTCGGCAGCACAACAAAGACAAGCCGTACAAGTGCCACAACTGTAACCGTGGTTACACGGATGCTGCCAGCCTGGAGGTGCACCTGTCCACGCACACCGTCAAGCACGCCAAGCTGTTCTCCTGTGGCCTTTGTAACCGGTCGTACACCTCGGTAGGCCCTCAGACCTGTCCATCGAGCACCAGCCACGTTTACACTATGCACCGACTCTAACTTCTACAGAGAAGATCAGAAAGAGAGAGAGTTAGCTGAGCTCTGTTACTTCAGCTATGACAGTCTATGATAATACTTGAAATGCCAATGAAGCTTTACAGCAATCTTATGAACAATATGGATATTTAAAAGCATATTTTGAATTACAGTGTACAGTGAGAAAATTTTAAATATTTTACTTTTCACTACCTGTCACAGCTATCACCGGATCGGATAGTAAGGTGGTCAAAATGTTCGATACTTTCGACACCACATGTTTTGAATCGACTCATTCTCTGTGATTCTCGTGATTGATTTTTTTTCTTTCTGTGGTATTGACACAGGCACAGGTATCCTTTTGATTTTTTACCACAATCGTCTCAAATGTTTAAAGCCTTGGTGTTGTGACCGCCCTAATGAGTCGTTAGTAAGCGAGTTAAAAGTCTGCATGATACTAAACACTCATGAACAGTATCAGCAAAGAGGTAACTTGTCAACAGGGGACATTCTTTCTGTGGTATTGACACAGGCACAGGTATCCTTTTGATTTTTTACCAGAATCGTCTCAAATGTTTAAAGCCTTGGTGTTGTGACCGCCCTAATGAGTCGTTAGTAAGCGAGTTAAAAGTCTGCATGATACTAAACACTCATGAACAGTATCAGCAAAGAGGTAACTTGTCAACAGGGGACATCAAAAATGACACAAAAAGGGGGGTGCAGATGGGCTAACAGTGAGGTCATGCCCAATGTATGGAGGCATGTATCGAGGCGGGCGGCCCAGGTTCAAGTCCGACCTGCGGCTCCTGCCCTGCATGTCATTCTCCCCACTCTCTCTCTCTCCTGATTTTACTGAGTGTATCCTGAACAGCCCCCCCCCCAAAAAAAATGTTGAAAATAAACGACACAAAGGGAATTTTCTTTGCAGCTGGTTGAATCATTATTTTTACATCTGTCTTCAGGATTTTTCTAATGATTATACTGAAGAACAAAGAGATTCATTTTTGACTTGTTCTGCCTATTTCATGTCCTTACATCTTTCAATGGTGGTCTTTAAACTGCTGCAGATAATAAAAAGCAAACATTCAACATTGCATAATCTAAGAATCATAGAAATGTCACACAGCACAAATGTCTTTGGACAGTAATTATTAGTCTTGAAGACATTTCTCCTTATCACTCAAACTTTTATCCGTTAAGGAATTCATGTAAAACAAATTGACAGATCTCCTTGATATTTAATATCCTAAGTTATGGCAGGAAAACAACCTGACATTTTTTCACGACCTTGACTGATGCAGACCTACCCTCCTCTTTTCTCTCTCTCTCTCTCTCTCTCTCTGACTCCAGGAGACGTATTTAATGAAACACATGAGGAAGCACAACCCCGACCCGCTAACAGTGGCAGCAACAGTCGCTGCTCAGCAGGCGCAGGGCCTCACGCCAGGCAGGGGCCGAGGACGTGGTCGAGGGAGAGGAGGTGGCGGGGGCAGAGCGGGGCAGCTCCAAAACCAGACCAACCCTAACAACACCAACCAGAACCCTAACCCTGGACCCCCAGGAGGCTACCCTCAGCAGCACTCGGAAGCTGTGGTTCAGTGCCCGTTTGACCTTCACCAGTACAAGACGGTGGCTGCCGGCGAGATCCAGTACAAACCAGTCAGTGTGGGAGACCTGCCAGTGACCCACAAAGACCTCTGCCTCACTGTCTCCACATCAGCCATACAGGTGGAGCACATGAACTCATAGACTGCGTTTTCCTACTCTGTTTGAGAGATAACTAATCGTGTCTGAAGTGTAAAAAAAAAAAAAAAGGTCCATATGAGCAAGTAATTAAACTGCATTCAGTATTTTAGTCGTCTGAAGAAAGAAAAAAAAAAAAGTCTGAGAAAATATTCAAACCATCCGCTTTATTAAGTGGAATCAGTTCAGACTCTCTTCCTTCTGACTCTTAAGATGAGCTAACAGAGTACCTTAAAACCCCGATTATAAATCCCACAGACCTGAGCTACCGCCATGATGAGCTCTGCGCCTCGGGTTGTGAAGTACAGACTCACAGCCCTCGACTGCTCCCCTCCGCTGAGCTCTTGTTCTCTTTAATGGGAGCCTTTCAATCAAACCAGCACTTCACCGGGTATATTGTTGAACAGTATACCTCTGCTTTCTTTAAGTGCAGGTTTATAACCTAGGTCCAGGTCGTTCTGTATCCCAGTACACTTTGCACGGTGTAGCGGCGGCTTACGGTACATGATGATTGGGGTGAGTTTTCAATCGGGTCAGGTCGTGTGCATTGAGTCATGGTGGAGGCTGCGCTTGGAGTCATGGCGGTGCATATCTCAGCATTTTCTACTGGTTTGTTGGGGGTAACGGTACGTAGGACGCAGCTTACCTTTGAGGTGGAGAAATGCGTCTTATACACCCAATTGTACGATCATTATCAAGGATACAAGCAAAAGTCAAATTCCCCCAAAGGTCCGTTTTTTTTCTTTTGTTTTAAGATGTTTTAATGCTGAGTGCAACGTGAAATTACTTGTCATAACAGATATTTTACAACGCGCTTCTTGATTCCTGAGCCCACTCGTGCCAAGTATCTCTCAGACTAAAAACTGCTACAGGTAGCGCAAGTCGTTCAAATCTTCAGCATGCAGCCAAATTCAGTTTGAGCTTTTATATGATTGTGAATTAGAATATATTCATACCTGAACTTCTCCTAAGAATCTTGAGTCTAACCAGCAGCTCTTCTCTGGGAATCAAACGAGGCTCGCTCGTGTCTCTTTTGACTGCGTTGTTTGCAGTGGGCATCACTGGAGGATGAAGATGTAAAATATCTGTAGAGTAAAAAAAAATGACTCTTTTCTCTGCACATCAATGATCCAGAGGACGGCGTTATTTTGAACATATTTAGATCATATTAACCTGAACATTCTCCGCTCTTTAGTTCAAGCCAAAACAAGAGAGAGAAACACGAGGAGTCAGAGATGAGAAACTGTGGAGTTTTGAAATGTCAGCGGAGAAGGACGTATTGTATTGTTTCAAAATGGAGAAATGACTCAATAAAAAAAAAAGTTTAAATGGCTTTTGAATGACACCATCGACGTGCCGAGGAGGAGAAAGGCAGAGTGTGTGCCTGAGTAAAGACAACAAGAGAAGAAGCTCTGCAGAAAGAAAAGGATGAGATGCTTTTTAGGGTGAAACCTGGACCTGAATCTCAACGAGTGCATTTGACATCTCCTTACTTACACCCTCCTCCCTTCAGACAACGAGGAGACGAGGATCTGAGTCTTTATCGGAGCCCAAAGTTTGGGATGAAAGAGGTTCAAGAATGCACTAAATTTGAGGAACCTGCAGCAGAACGAGATGGAAACAGGAGAGGAAAGGGGGGCTGGTGGGGCGGGAGGGGTCCTAAAGAAAGCACTTGATGAAGCTCGTACTTCACGCCTGTTTGTCATCATTTTACTTTTTTTTATATATCATGTATGTATTTTTCTACCAACAGAGGAACGCGTGAACAAACTCGGAGAGAAAGCAAAGTGAACGCATGAATATGAAGGGAACAGAGAAAACAGAGAGCCCCCCCCCCCCCTTATTTGTGTTATTATACAAAGAGAGACAGTTTACTATCCTCCAATGGGTACAGCCCGACTCATCATTTCAGGGCGGTTTTTGGGGGGAATATTGATTGTGTGAAAAAATGGCTGACAGGTACTGTTATCAATCTTTTTTTTTTTTTTAAAGAACTTTTCATACATATTATTACTACTCTCATTATTACTGTATTGCAAATGTTATCCACATTATTATCAATCTGAGGCATTATTGTATTGCAGTATGCTGTACATAAAATAGATAGAAAATACTTTTTCATCCTTAAAAGGGAAGTTTGTCTCATGTAAAGCTTATATGGAAACTTAAGGAACTCAATCTGACATGTTTAAAATCACCGGCTGTGTCCCAGGTCACCTTTAGAGCTGACGGACCCTCGCTGAAGACGTTTTGATTTCTTACTGGACAACGTGTTTCTCTCTTTAAGTGACAAGCTGTGCATCATTTCCTGAAACTTCATAGTGCTCAGGAGTATTTTTTTTTTTTTTGTGCAGATGAGCTATATGTTCAATTTGTAGGAGACAGACATGAGGACTGCAGAGGCTGCTCAGAGAGGCCTTCCCTGTACAAGTGGACACAGTGTTGTCCTTTTCATATTGCCAGTTCAAGGCGCATTCTTTACACCCCTGTGATGTCTCGTCTTTAGCTGTGAACGTCCCAGAGGCGTAACAGTGGGACTGAGTCGACCCACTTCTGTGCCTGCATCTGAGGTAGTAACAGAGGCGTTACAGGGACGAGAAGGTATCATTGTGTGCGCTTCCATGTGGAGCCCTCTGTGTTTCTTGTTTTGGACACGATGTTAGATAACAGCCTGCGACTCCAATAGGATGCGGCTGTGGAAACAACAGCTCTTTACCATAACGAAGTTCTACCATCATTGGTGTCCCAGTGTGGGAATTCACATTGCATTATGGCGTTGTGGAAAACCAAGCGGCACAGGGAACACAGCAGGAGCTTCACATGCACACGTACTCAGATATGCACAACCCCCCCCCCCTTTACGCCTCTGTTACAACCTCCGATGGCGGATCAGAGGCGGAACGACCTTGCATCACCATTCTGCATCTATGCGTTAAAACATAGCACGGGACGCATGGCGGGGGTCTAAGTTTCCCGCCTTCACCTCGCAGTCTGTCAGCGGCCCGTTGTGACGGTGTTGCTGAATCACAATCTGAAAAAAAAGGGCTCATCGCTTCACTCAGAGAACCGTGGTTATCATGTAACCCGGTGATACTCTAATTATGAATCGACCGGAAATGGTTCGACCTTAGTGACTGTAAGTTTAATTAAAAGAGAAAAGCCTTTCATGAAGAGGTCACAAGGTCATCAGGATCATCAGGATACAAAACCTTCAAGAATTCTTCAAAGAATTCCACAATTCAGCGTTTATACTGATATCACAAAGTCTGCTGCCATACTTCTGTATTTTCTAAATTAAACACAGTTGCCTCCGAACTTTGGGAGAGGATACTATCTGCCCATTTAAAACAATCAGTTTAAAAAAACCAACACAGACCGTTTTGATCTGAAATGATCTGAAGGTTTATATCAATGATTCATGGTTTGAAAACCAGACTGACGTGGCTGACCTGGGTGACCTGGGACACGGCAGACATGTTTTTGTACACAAGCTGTTTGTTCTCATTCAAAATGTTCAAGCGGCCCATTCCACTGGCTGACAGTCTTCATGTATACTCCTTGTATTTCATTGTGTCTTTTTATGGAAGATAACACCTTCTCAATACTCATGTTAATGTTATTACTGATGCTCCTGATAGAAATAATACGTTCTTCATCTGCCCTCTTATGCTACACTCTCGCATACTGTACGCACAGTTACACCTCTTGCTCATCTGAACAGACTGTTTCTTCCCATAAGGAGAATAAAGTTTCAAAACAAACTATGATGAAAATAAACCCGTCATTGTCTGATTTGTTTATTATTAATTCAAATTCATTCATGTTCTTGATGTTTTTTTGTTGAGTTGGAGCTGTTAAAGCTCTGTCTTTGTACAAGCTGCACTTTTTTGTTCACACCTTAGTGGCTTCATCACCAGCATTACAATTAGGGATTTGATTTTGATGTATTTCATATAACAAAAAAACATGTTACCGCAACAAGTACAACCACAATGCAACAATGCATGAAAAGGACCCTGGATACGCTTCTCAAAGCTTTTAGAAGGGGGTCCAGACACAGAACAAATAACAGGTAGAGCTCAACACACAACAAATGAAACAACAAACAACTCAATAGTCCCAAAACATGACCTCACCCCAACATTAAATCAATAGTCATGAGTTTATGCCTCAATAGTTGCTCCATAAAGCACCTCACGTTGAAGGAAAGAGAATAAATGATTATATAAGTTCCATTTAAAAACTATGTTTGGTGATAAAAGTATATACAAATACAGCAAAAAATAGAAACACACTGGTTATTTATCGATCACTTATCAAGATGTTGATTTAATGTATTTACATTTACATACATTTTGCATTAGGCGCGGACTGCAGCTCTAACGTCGTGTATACCGCCCACGCAGGACACCTCCGGACAACATATGAAGCACCTCCCGAGAAAGAGGCGGGGTTTACTCTGGCTCAACCAATCACAGCAGTTTATCTGAGGTACCCACCAAAACATTTCAATTTGAAATTCAAACGGCCGGAGAGACGGTGGACTTAGCGGCGGAGAGATCGTTTCTGTCGACGGAATCAAAGTTAAGGTAAATATTTCCAAAAATAAATGCTCTTTTTTTTTTCAGAATCAAGTAATATTTTAAAGAGCCGTACAAAGCCGGTCGTTCATTTAATTTAAGGTAAGTTTGTTGTCTCTGGTCGGGCTAACGTTAAGCGCCAGTGAGTCGCTTTTCCGTCGTCACAATAACAGTTGAAGATTATTTAATAGTTTGATGACCCAGTTTGTGTCTTAATCCAAAATTGTAAGATATAGTTCACGCTTTACTGTCATCGGGTACTGAAATGTTGTTTAATATTTACTAACTTGAAGCTATTGTAACGTGAACGCAACACAGACTAAACAGTGATGTGCTGGTTAGCTGGAGACGAAACAGTGATTTACTGTCCTTTATGAAGTCTGATAACTTGTTGTCTTCTGTCTGTTTACTGTCCTTTATGAAGTCTGATAACTTGTTGTCTTCTGTCTGTTTACTGTCCTTTATGAAGTCTGATAACTTGTTGTCTTCTGTCTGTTTACTGTCCTTTATGAAGTCTGATAACTTGTTGTCTTCTGTCTGTTTACTGTCCTTTATGAAGTCTGATAACTTGTTGTCTTCTGTCTGTTTACTGTCCTTTATGAAGTCTGATAACTTGTTGTCTTCTGTCTGTTTACTGTCCTTTATGAAGTCTGATAACTTGTTGTCTATTGTCTGTTTACTGTCCTTTATGAAGTCTGATAACTTGTTGTCTATTGTCTGTTTACTGTCCTTTATGAAGTCTGATAACTTGTTGTCTTCTGTCTGTTTACTGTCCTTTATGAAGTCTGATAACTTGTTGTCTATTGTCTGTTTACTGTCCTTTGTGAAGTCTGATAACTTGTTGTCTATTGTCTGTTTACTGTCCTTTGTGAAGTTATGTCTGATAACTTGTTGTCTATTGTCTGTTTACTGTCCTTTGTGAAGTCTGATAACTTGTTGTCTATTGTCTGTTTACGACATGTGAGATCCAGCGTTTGCCTGTATTACTCAGCGCCATGAATAACACAGTTAATACTACATTCAAATGAGATGCAGCTACGTTTCTAATGTGCTGAGTTGTGGGATTAGCTTCATCCTCAGTCGTGTTGATAAACTGATCTAAAGTCACAGAGCTCCGTTTCTTTGTCTCCATAGAGGAAGATGCGACCTTAAAAAAACATCCTGCTGCTCAGTCTGCTATTTCTCTCTGTTCCCCAATTAATAATACTTATTTTTAGTTGTTTTTTATTTACAGAAAACAATAGAAGTCAGTCTTGCTGTCTGTTTAGGACATTGAAGTAATAGTTATAATATTTATTTAGTGAGCACAGAAAGCAACACAATGTCCTTCCCCCTATCTAATTATTTATTATTTTTATTTAATTCCCCCATTTTTTTGTCTCGTCTTATTTTTTACTATTATTATGAAGATTATTAGTATTACTGTTAGGATAGTTTTTCTTGTTTTGCTTTGTTTTTCTGTGTATGCAGACATGCATGTATGTATGTATGTATGTATGTGTTCATGTTGGTGGAGGGAAGGGATATACTGACATTCTGTGTACAGTTTGTTGATCGTTGTTTACCCATCCAAAAAAAAACAACAACAATGTCCTTCCCAGAGCACAAACATGTTTGAAAACATAAAATATTATGTCTCCTGTTTTATGTTGTTCTTACATGTATATAAGGGCGGCAGTAGCTCAGTCTGAGGGGACTTGGGTTGGGAATCGGAGGGTCGTCGGTTCAAGTCCCGGTGTGGACCAAATATGGAAGTTGGTCTGGTAGCTGGAGAGGTGCCAGATCACTTCCTGAGCACTGCCGAGGTGCCCTTGGGCAAGCCAAACCCCCTCAGCGGTGGGCTGCTCCATCACTCTGACATCTCTCCATTAGTGCATGTTCATAGGATCCTGTTTGTGTATGTGTGTGTATTTCAGCCTGTGTGTGTGTGTTGTAGAAATCTTTATCTTAATAATAACAGACAGGTGCAGACAGCAGACAGGTGCATGCACAGGCCATCAAAGTGCACAATGGTTCTCTGAAACATCTATGACTATTACAAACAAAATCCAGCAGTAAAAAGATGTGTTTAAGTCTCCTTTGAAAAGAGTTGGGTGTTGGGGTGTCTCTCATAGTGCCTGAAACATATTTAAATCTGATTTGTCGTGCAGATCGATTAAAGGTAAAATAACATCCACCTCTGCAGCCCTGGTTGTCAAATAACTGTTTAAGACTAAGCGTGTAATACATGATGGCACGATCTAAGTTTGAACCTGTTCCGGTTTCTGACCTCAACAGAAAATGTCTCGCTTGCCAATCAGCAAGAGGGCCTTACCAAGCAGCAGCAGCGGCAGCAGCAGCTCAGAGAATGGCCAAGATCAGGGGCCTGCTCAGGTTTGTACTTTAACATTTCTCTGACCTTACACCCATACAGAGCTCCAACAGATCCTTAAATAAAATTACATTAGATTAGGTGCCACTTGGACTGAAATATGTCTGGATCCTTATTCAGACCTACACTGTCTAGTGTCAGGAGTTTTTATTACTACTGTCCTTTAATTTGATGTTCACTTGACATTTATGGCAGCTTATTAACAACCCGTGAACGGAAGGGAGAAGAAGATGAGAACAGTGTTTGTCAACAGTGTATTTATTATCGCTCTGTATCATTGTTTGCTGCTTTCGAGCATTTAAGCGGTGTCCCTTATAGTACACTTCTGTGTGTATTTACAGAAACGGGTCCGTAAGGATCCAGAAACGGTCAGACCGCAGGCAGCAGCTACGGTCATCGGCGGACGACGGGCTCCTGTTGCAGCAACCAGGGCCCCCATTTGTGAGTATACTGCTTTAATCTGAGCTCTAAGGGTCTTCTGCTTGAGATCAATGAGGAGAATTATTCACTGAAATGAATGACTTGTCTGCGTCTCGCTGTTTAATTTTGTAACTCTCTCTTTCTCACTTTGTCCATCGTACAGCTAAGCCAGTCAGAAGTGCGGGAGCTGCCACTGTGGCCGTTGCTCCTTCCAGAGGTGAGATGAGTCACCTGTGGTGATGTAGGGAGGTTCAAAAGCTGGGATAATTTTTCTGTGTGTCAAAGTTTTCTGTGATTTAAATAGTATAAAGAGTTTATTCTTATTCATGTTTGTGTTAATTTACATTTTAATGGTTTATGTCTATTTTTTTTATTGTTGGCCTACAGCTTACATTTTTCTTGAATAAAAGAGCACAGAATCATATAAAGGAAACACACATGAACCTGCAACATGTTGTAATAGTCACATAACTTTCAGTCATTTACATTTTAGTTTATTATTATCTGCAGTTTTATCTTTTTTTTGTAGATTAATTGAACCAGCATGAACATGAGAGGTCGTACTAGAATGCTTCTAGTGTGGCATGTCTGACTTTGTCCTCTCTCATTTCTTCAGGTGTCCTGAAACAATCCATCGCTTCAACAGCAAGGGGAGTCAACGTGAGACAAACTGCCGCACCACCAGCCACAAAAGCAGGTGATGCATCTATTGCACCGGGTTCTTTTCACCTAAAACATTATAACCAATCAAAGTCTATTCCTGTAAAAAAATGTATTTACAATTCAGTCACTAAAAACAAATGATAGTGATCTCTAGGTGAGTGAGTAACTGTGCTGTAACAAAGCTCTGCCGTACGTTGACATAGGCTCTGTGATAGGGTAATGTTGGTGTCCCAGTGTCGGACTTTTACTTTGTCTTTTGACGCTGCAGAAGCACAAGAGGCATGACTTGTAAACACAGCAGGAGTTTCACACACACACTCAGCAGGTACATGAACGCAGCTCTGTTCAGCCCTGCTGTTTCACACCCCTGTAACACCTCAGATGCAGGCAGAAGGTCGTTCCCCCCCCACTACACCTTTAAATATCCCCCTTTGAACTGGCAATTTAAAAGTGGCTGATGTGTTTCTAATAACAAAAAGAACCATTCCTCTGATCTACTGTAGTATCAATGATAAACCCCCGTACCTGAAGCAGCCAAACAGAATACAGCTGTCTTTAATTTGGTTATACACACCTTTACCTTTCTGATTGGATCTGTCTCACATGTTTATGATGCTGCCGTGCACAGGTGGCGGCGTAGTCGTCAAGCGGAATAAATGGGACCTGAAGGCCAAGGTCAGCGACATGGAGGACAAGCTCCGAAACTACCAGACCAAGGTTAAATCTGCCAACCAGGAGAACGAGGTTCTAAAAGGCACCATGGTCCAGAGCCAATCCAAAGTGACGGAAATGCAGAGAGAGCTTCTGGCGCAGAGGAAACAGATCAGGTGCAAAAATCCACTCATTCACAACGTCATGTTGACAGTGTTACTGATGTTTCTGTTTTTACGTCACTAACAGTCCTTTCTTTTCATCACATCAGCGAGTACGAGGAGAAGCTGCAGGCTATGTCAGGAGTCCAGGCTGAGCTGGAGCAAGTCTGTAGTGAGAAGAGCACGCTTGAAAAGGAGCTCTCCAACCTAGAGGTGAAATATAAAGTCATGGAGACTCTCCAAAACAGCCAAGAGACCGAGCTGCAAACTCTGAAGGTATGAAGCCTGCTGCTGGATATCAGCCAGTACTGGTTATTTAACCTCCTAAAGGGTCTAAATGGTGATCCGATTTCAGAAAAGACCAGGATTTTATTGTTGTGTTACTTTCCAGATGAAGCTCTCAGTGCAGGAGTCGACTCTGGCCCGCGTGCAGACAACCCTCAGAGACACAGAGGAAGAGGTCCGCACCCTCAAAGAGACTGTGGCCGAACAGAAGGATGAGCTCCACGCCGGGGAGATGGAGCGCAGACGGCTCCACAACTCCATCCAGGAGCTCAAGGTGGGTGGCAGCGTAGCACCAGTAGAAGTATTTCAGCTGATCCAGGAGCTGAGTTAACTCTCCTGTAGAAAACGTGTGGAAATCTGTTTCCCTTTTTTTCTTTTCTTGCATCCAAATTCACCTAACACCCAACCAAAAGTTCTTTCTTTTTGCTCTCACTAATATGTCCATGTGTGTGTTTCCTGCAGGGTAACATCAGGGTGTTTTGCAGAGTGCGCCCTACGGTGGACGGAGGAATCAGCAAACACATCCAGCTCCCGTCCAGTGACGACAAGACGATAACTCTGGCCAAAACTGAGGAGGTGAGAATCCCCCATCATGCAAACTCTCTAAGGAAACAGTTTGTTTTTTTGTTCTGTAGACTGAGATAGAAAGTATGGTGCATAGTTTCTACGATCATCTAAATCAGTTGGACATCAGAGTCCGTATAAGAAACGTGCATCTCAGTGTAAGAGTGTCCTCATCACAAATCTGCCTTGATGAAGTGATAGAAGGAAAAAATGTTTGTGTTGAGTTTGTCAAGATATTCAAAACTATAAACTAATCTGTGCTGTTGCTACTTTTCAGTCTCACACGGGCAAAACTGCAGACACTCAGAAAAACTACAACTTCAGTTTTGACCGCGTGTTTGGCCCCCAGGCTTCACAGCAGGAGGTAAACGTCGTCGTGAAGCATCATCTACATCTGAATAAACGTCGTGTTTTTAGAATACTACATGATCATTTGGTGGCAGTTTCTTACAAAGTATGTTTGTTTTCAGGTCTTTGAAGAGATCTCGCTGTTGGTGCAGTCTGCTTTGGACGGCTACAACGTCTGCTGCTTTGCCTACGGCCAGACAGGGAGCGGAAAGACGTACACCATGGAGGGAGACGAGGTTGATGTGACCAGAGGAGTCATTCCCAGAGCCGTGCAGCAAATCTTCAAAGCCGCAGAGAAACTGGGATCTCAAGGCTGGGAGGTATGTGTGTAAATCGTGCAGTGGGCGAATTGTCAATTTGTAAAATGATGCTCAGAAGAGTTAAAGCTTCTGTGAGGAACGTTCAGTTTGTTGATTTAGGTTTCCTCTGTGGACTTTGCTGATCCTGACCAGTACATGTGCATCTCTTCCTGCTTTCTCTCAACAGTTAAACGTATCACTCTTTGAGAATCTTTGCTATGAAAAATGTTTTATTTTTCATTTTTAATAGCCAGTTTAGCAGAGGGCTGTCAATCACGTTGTCTAACACCTACTCCGCAGCAGCGACTTAAAAATGTCTATAGAGAAATATCCAATCTTGTTGCCAGTGGTCTGGTTTGCTTTGTTGGTCATATGAAGGATTCAGTATTAATTTAAGTCTGTTTTATGAAAAATTAAAAACTCCTCAGAGGAGCTTTAACTGGAAAAAAGCTTTTTTTTTCTGAAGGGAAGCGCATTGAATCCGCAGTAACTTTTTTTGTCACTAATTGTGCATTCACACTTACACAAAACTCCTGAAAACTTCCAGAAATTTCACACTAGAGTGATTTTATTTTTCTCCTGGAGCAGTAACAAAAAAAAAACTTTCCTCACTTTTTAGTTGTCTTAACTTTCAATCACAGAGAGAATAAAATAGTTAAACAGAGAAGCTGTTGTAATGCTCAACCTAGTGTCCCGTCAGACCGCTGATCCACCCACCACTGAAACAAACCAAGGGACTGTGGCAGACTGTTCACGTTTGTAGAGGAGATGGAGATATAGTTTTCATCTTTCGTACGGTTTCTGTTTCAGTTCAACTTCACAGCAAGCTTTGTTGAGATTTACAACGAGACCCTGCGGGACCTCCTGTACACCGGGAAGGCCAGCAAGAGGCCCGAGCATGAGGTCAGAAAGTTGACCAACAACGACGTGACCATCACCAACCTCACCTACGAAAAAGTCTCCAACGAGGATCACGTAAGCCAGGCGGATGAGCTACATCACCATTCAGCAACATGACTTATTACCCAGTACTCAAGTTTGCAGTCATTGGCTGCCTATTCATATGTTTCCTAGAGGTAGATGATTAATACGCTCTGCTCCGCCTTGCAGGTTCTTGGCCTGATTGCATTGGCCAATCAGAATCGCTCCACAGCTCAGACAGCCCAGAACGACCGCTCCTCACGCTCGCATTCAGTCTTTCAGCTGGACATCGAGGGAGTGAATGCTGGCAGAGACATCAAGTGCAAGTGTGAGTATAATCCCACTGATGACATCATCATCCATAATGTGTGTTTGTAAAATGCCGTTAATATAAATATATCTCAGCTTTTTATGAACTCATTTTAATGAAGTTTTGTTTATTTAGCTGTATATCTTTTTTGATAAGAATGATTTTTGATTGTTTTTCTGCATACAGCCACTCTGTGCCTGGTGGACCTGGCAGGCAGTGAGCGGATGTTGAAGAGTCAGTCTCAGGGTGAGCGCTTCAAAGAGATGACGGCCATCAACGGCTCCCTGTCCAACCTGGGCATCGTCATCACAGCGCTGGCCAACAAGGTGTGTGAGCAGGATTCAATCCTGGATATAAAAACTGGTGCTAAAGTGTGACATCTACTGGACATCTTCTCTGAAAGTCAAATATTATACCTTTAATATTCTGTCTCATCTCCATGAAGTAGTTTTTTTTTTTTTTTTTTTTTTGACATTATTTATTTTTGTTGGGTTCTAGGAAAGCTACGTTCCATACAGGAACTCCAAGCTGACCTACCTCCTGCAGGGCTGCTTGGGAGGAAACAGCAAAACGTGAGTTCTTTATCAGCACATCTTCAAGAAGCCAGATTCCTGAAGAATCTCTGTTATGCTGTTTCTCTTGAGATCTTTCTGCAATTGTTATCCAAAATGTATGTGTGCTAATCTGACAGCTTCCATCGTGGGCAGATCACTTCTCACTTCATGAATATAAAAATGATGACTTGTGCATCGCTTCACCAGTTTTAGATTCTCCACCAAGTAAATCAAATTAGAAAAAGCATCTTTCTGGTTGATCTTATATAAATGTGTTTTCCTCCTTTCAGTCTGATGTTTGTGAACATCGCCCCGGAGCAAGACAGCTTTGGAGAAACCCTCAACTCTTTGAGGTTTGCCAGCAAGGTCAGTAGGATGATGGGATCTCTAAATGAACTTTATTATCAAGTTAAATAAACTGAAAATGCTGAACATTTTACCTAGCAACCCATATTGTCTCTTCTTGGGTTATAAGCATTCTCCCACAAGACTTCATCTATTAAATATGGAAGCACATAAGCTCGCTTTCACACATGAAGTCCAGTGGACTCGTGTGATTCAGGGGTGAAGTTACAACCGCTTATGCACTACTGTTTGGTTCACTTCCCTTGTTAAGTTTGGAAAGCGTTCTCACCTACAGCGAACCGAACTCTGGTGCAATTGGAAGTGCACCCGTTTTCAAGTGAACCAGAGTTAATTTGAGCTTTCACACCACCCCATAAACTTAAGCTAACTGTTTCCACGACCTTCAGCCTTTGTCCACTGATATTAATTCAGATGTTTTGATTTGCTTTTAAACAAAAAGACTCCTGGACTGTATTCAGCACTGATTCAAGTATAAAACCGTCTTAATGATTATATGATTGTGTCTTTCAGTCTGATGTGAAATTGTGTTTTTTCTCGTTCTACAGGTGAACGACTGTGTCATTGGGACCGCCAGTGCCAACAGAAAATAGAGACATCCTGTAAACAAACTGTTCTTACTCTTTTTGAACATCATCCTCGCCACCTTTCTTTATGTCTTTAACTTGTATTGTTTGGTACGCTGAATAGTACTGCCAACCTGTACCAAAAATCTAAAATACTTTTCTATATTTTCAGGGCCTTGATTGGTGGCCACTGATACCGGCTTTTAAACATTTTTATGCTTCTATGTAAATCGTGTTTTGTACATACAGATATTGCTGGTCAGTTTTTTTTTTTTTTTTTTTAAATGTCTGCATAGTTACTCTAAAGGTGAAACATATAAGCTCCATTGACCCTTTATATCTTCAAGAAAATACATTAATTTACCTTATTTTTTTCAAATTTAAAAATGTCTTATAACTTGCACAACAAAAGCAAATAAATGTAGTGAGATTACATGTTTACTGTCATTTTTTATCTTGATTTTTGGAGATAATGTATCTGTTCGCTCTCCCCCTGAAGGCGTATTAAAAAAGATATTCAATAGGGGGGAAGTGGGGGGTTTATAGAATAGAATAGAATTACTTTATTGATCCCAAACTGGGAAATTGTGGCGTTAAAGCAGCAGGTTATCTAAACACACAATATTAGCAAATAAACACAATATAATATTACTAAAAGTATAAAAACTGAGAATGAGAACATATACATCCAGGATTTAACCTAGCATTAATTCTAGTCTTAAATATGAAAGATTAAATACAACATTCTTTGCTTTAGGTAGATGGAAATGTGCAAAAAACAGATTATAAATGAAGCCCAGCCCCTTCGACGATGTGCAGCTCGACTCACCTCGTGTAGTTCAGTTAAGAGTGTGAGAGTTAACTGTTCCTTGTTAACCTCTTTCTCTCCTCTCACATGCTGTCACTGCATGCACATCATCACTCGAGCCAATTAACACATCCAACTACTAAGATGACTCTCAAAAGTTTTTACAGCTTTCAACAAAATAAATGAAATACAATAAATAAATGCATTTTTAACATTAAGAAACTTACATTTTACCACATTTTTTTACAATAAAAAAAATGTATTTCACTCAATCTTTTTAACCTTTATCAAAGCAAATATTTATTCCTATTTTATCACCATGATGAAAACCAGAATTCTGAAAAAGAAAATAAACATTCTGACTCAGAAATGGATGCCCTGACTTAATTTTCACTCTTTAATTATTTACAGAATAAATACCTGCAGGTGATGAAGATGTGCCTATTAACGAGGTGTTAAATAAAACTGCAGGTCTTAATGATTATGATGACAGAGTTGCTTTTAAGAGATGCAACACGTTTATTGTTGCGATCTTGTGGTCAGACTGCTTTTTTAAAACCTGAATGTACAATTATATGATAGCCCAGACTTTATGTTACACATCACAGATGGAGTTCACATTAAAGTTCTTACCTCAGGAGACCCACTGCCCCCCCTCTTGTCTGACAGGAGTTGTCTTCAGCTGTGTGGTGCATGTGTGAACAGCCAGGTCAGGAGAAAAACCAGAGCAGTCCTCCTAGAATGATCTACACATGTTCAGGAGTGCATATGTGAAAACAGCTTGAGACACCACTGAAGCAGCACACTTTGCAGCTGTTTTAATTGAGTCTAATTATTTAATTATGTCTTTGTTTGTCTAACTGTCTTGCATTTTCACTTGTGCCCTTATATTTCTTGGCAGAAATGTGAAAGCCATGTTGTCTGTATATGCATTTTCAGACAACTCGAAATTTCTGACTTCCAAGATCAAACTGATGCACCCAAACTGTAGGCTTACTGAACCAAACCGGACCACTTCTTCATCTTATGGAAGCATTAAACCATCAAACTTCCCAATATTTTGGGACTGAAACTACTGGTAGAGAAACATATTATCCAAATATCAACAAAACAGGCTTGCAGGGTGGGGACAACAGGATAACCCAAATGCTTGAAGCATGCTGAATTGTTGGCTTCACTGAAATGTTTGCCATTAAATTAAATTTGCAGGGTTTTTTTTGTACTCTGCTATTACTATTCTTTTCAACACTGTGTAAGAACACACTGTGACTATTCTGTGGTCTATTGTGAGTACAAAAGTTGGCTTCTTGTGGTTGTTGTAAGAAGACATGATAATGTACATACACACTATCAACAGTTTGTATTCCCAACAGCAAGACTTTCTTTAATAGTGTAGGTCAAAGTGAAAAGTGTGAAAAAGCCACTGTCTTTGAGTTAGAAAATAATCTTGGTGGAACAACGAAAAGATAAAACAAACCACTTGTTTGCCTTTTACACAAACCCTTTAAAAGCAACTTGAGAACTGAATTTACAACATAAGAGCGATTCATAAATATTACTTTTTCCAGATAGGCAACATGACAGTACAACTTAGTTATATGGTTGAGGATAACCTTTTCCAACACATCACATTCACAGTATTCTCCTTGGTATAAAGCATAGGAAATCAACTGAATTTGATTGGAAATATTAACTAACAGCTAAAGTCCTGACATATAAATAAAAATGTAAAATACACAATCAGTCTCAGTGGTCACCTGCTGCTTCATCATTATAAGCCCAGTAAAATGCAAGGGTCTCCAATGACATAAAAATAACGGCACTCTTCTTAGTTAGAGGGATCAAAATATGGGTTGAAACAGGATCACACTTGGTAATTAAACTGAAATTAAATTAAGTAAGATAACATTCCTTTGTAAGTTAATGTACATTGTTGTAAACAACGTAATGCCAAATAAAAGGCATGATAATAGACAATCATTTTGATGGGGTTTGGCATACCAAGCCCTTGTCACTTTGAAATGACCAGTGTAGTATTTTCAATTTCCAAGCATGTCATTTTGTGAACAACTGGTTATAAAAAAAAAAAAAACATGGAACAAGTCTGAGGTAAAAAGTTATTGTTCAGCCTTTGAAAACAAAACTTGAACAGGTGTGTTGTATTGACGCTGTGAGGCCTGCCTTGCCTTACATCTCAGGACTGCAAAGTTTGTGGTGTTTGTACTTAAAAAGAATACTGCAAAGTCTGCAAATAATGGCTAAGACCAGTTACCTTGACAATATAAAATATAATAAATAATATTGCCTTACAGGTTCTAATTTGGTCCAGATGAAGAGGAAAGGTGTCTACAGCAACATTTATTTCAGTACCAGGTGAAATCCAGAGCTGGCACTTATCCTAGGACATGAAAGCTTTATCAACGTATAATCCTGGAGACCTGACCATGTTAGTATTAACAAACCAGAACATCTGAACACAAAATCCATCTTTGTAATCATTGCTTTAGAATAAATGTACACTATCATAACTATTCTTAAACATAACCAAAGAGCACAATGATTTAATTCAATTCAATTAAAACTGGATTTTTTTTTTTTTTACAACTCACAGGGATTGATTTTATAGATATTGTTTATAAATAAACAAAAAAACAAAACAATGTATGCATCTTCTGGGGAAATCACAAAGTGTGTTTCTTTTTGTAAAAAGATCATGCTGCTAGGGCTCAAAACTCAACCAAAAATATTTTTTGCACAACCCCCATAAAAAAGAAAGATGTTTGTCAAAGTATAATTAAAAAAGTGAGTCAAATCAAGATATGTATTCAGGGGTTGCGTGTACTCTGTGTTTGTCTTGAGTGCAAGAACTGTCAGGGGCTGGTATATTCAAAATTGAACAAAACTGGATCTAAGCTTCACCAAAACAAAGAAAGACAAAGTTCTGTCTAAAATAAGGTCAAAGTCACTTTTTGAGGGGCTGGTAGACAGAGGCATTTGGATCCAGGGAGGAGGGACTATTGTCCATGAACTTTGACGAGTAGTGCGGAGTGACAGGGCTGTGGTTGCTGCTGTCTGAAGAGTAAGACAGACTCGGCATCACTGCCATCACCTCTGCTATCTTCTGCTTTAGCTCTGCGACCTCCTGCTCCCTCTGGTGGATCTGGCCTGGAAGAAATGAAGGAGACAAAGGCCCTGTAGTTATTCAACTACGATTGATCTCCCTGGAATCAGTGCATTACTAGAGAGAGAGAGAGAGAGAGAGAGAGAGAGAGAGGGTGTGTGTGTGTGTTCACATGAATATGTTGTCACAAACACACAGAGTGTATTTGATGCAAACAGTCATCTTCGGGTATTTCGGTGCCAGCAATTATAAAATGATCAAATGTTTCCAAACGAACAGTCGTGAATTTATCCTTCAGTGTTGCGCACTGCAGTCTGATCAGCTCCTATGTTAATTAATAAAGAGCCTGGCAGTCCGATATTCTTCGTGTCGATACTATCGTGATCTAACCCCGTCACTGGCTTTTTATGCGCCATGAATCTGTGCCATCTCCGTGCGTAATTCAAGGGAGCATTTTAGCGCAGCTCCGCGGTTAAACCAGCGGACCTCTGTATGATCGGACAGCCTGTCTGTTCTATCGTTTGTGGATAAGAATCTTTACAGTCTGATGACAGCTGGTGATAAAGGCACAACAGCAGGCTACTATATTTAGAAGGGATGTCGCGCTTAAGTGATCAACACAATACCGTGACCTAAAAATGAACCATCTGTAAATAAAATCAGTTATGATTAATTCTACATGACTGTTTGCACAATAATCAGAGGTAAAATAAGTCAGGAGGTGCCAGAGGATTAATGCCGGTGTCTGGAACCTACAGCTAGTCTGTTATTATTATATTTTTTTTCCCTATCTTCACGAGCTGCTCTTTGTGGCTCATTCCAGGAAGGAAGCGTTGTTATTATTAGTCAAACTTTACATCAGTCAAAACAGGAGAAACTGGTATGAAGTGTGGACAGAAGTGAAGACCGTCAGGAGGAGCGCGCAGTGCAGCGGTGCTCCTGTGCTTAAGTCCCGTAGTAGCTCTGATCACATTCTGGCAACTTGTGAGCAAATAAAAATAAAGAAATACCGCTCCTAATATATGAAAACCTGCATTATGTGTCACCTCTCCCAGGTGTTCAGGTTAGCCTGTTTGCTGATTAACGTAATGCAGGAGCAGCTCATTGGAGATAGTTCAAAGTGTCGCGTTTCATTAATTTTCAAATCTTCATATTACCCTTTACGTTGCTCATTATACATACTGTAGGTTTCAGCTATTATTTAGCTTGTGGTGGAAGTGTTTTCATAATTTTGAGTAAAACTACAATATGTAAGAACGATTAAACAACACTATAAAAAGGCATTTCTTTACTTCATGACGTTTATATTACTCCTCCAAGAAGCGTCACCATAACCCGGTGGAGGAGTTTGCGTGTCCTGGTGAACCCAGGAGCTGTGTTGTTGGGTGGCAGGTGTGGGCGGATGCCTGGGCAGCGCACACTAGTTCTGGGGATGTGGAAGGTCACCTCTCTGGTGGGGAAGGAGGCGGAGCTGGTGCGGGAGGTGGAGCGCTTCCAGCTTAGATA